CTCCATATCCATTCTGAAAAGTTCTGAGAAGTGCCTCCACTCATTTTTCATTATATCTTTATTATTTTTAAATCATATTTAGGTCTCTTAAGTCAAAACTTATCATGTCATATGTGTGATATGCTGGTCTAAACCTTTTTTTTTTTTGCCAAACCATTTTTAATTTTCCCAATTGTTCTTATTACTACTTCCCCCCCACTACTTCTTTCAATATTTTCTTTCTCCAAATTAAATTTATTTTGCCTAACTCTGTAAAGAAAATCCTCAGTAGTATGATTATTATAGTCCTAAGTCTATAAAGTATTTTCTGTAGAATCATTTTTATTTTATTGCTGTGACCCAACCATGAGCAATCAATATCCCTCCAATTATTTAAGTCTTAATTTAATATTATTTACATGTCTCGAAGAATATGCAAACAGAAAAAGAATCCCACCTTAATGATGTCAGGGGAGCTGAAGGCACAAACCAAGAAGAAAATTACTCCAAAGCATCTACAAGCAAAACCTCAGAGGAAAATACATCTTAGGCACAAATTCAATAAGAATTTCTGAGTGAGGTGAAGCAAAATGAAATAAAATAAAATAAACAGTTTAAAATGCATTTATACATGAAATGAGAGCACTTGAGGGAAAAAAATTGAGAGCTGTGGAAGAAAGAATTGGAAAAGAAATTAATAGTGTGGCACAAGAAGTGCCCCAGCAAGAAATACCCTGAAATTAGAATTCATCAAATAGAAACCAATGACTGTATGAGAAAAGAATAAATATTAGAGTCCAAAGGCTGAAAATATAGAAGAAAATGTAAAGTACTTCATAATAATGTAACTGACTTGTTAAAAAAAAAAGGAGAAAAAAATTAAGAATTTTTTGACTCTGAATAGCATGATCTATAGATACAATATTTCAAGAAATCTTAAAAGAAAACTATTTAGATCTCTTAGAATCAGAGAGGGAAAGTGGAAATAGAAAGAATCTACTCCTGAAAGAAACTCTAAACTGAAAACTTCCAGGAACCTTATAGTCAAAATCCAGAGTTTCTAGGTCAAAGAAAAAAGAATATGACAAGCATCCAAGAAAAGAAAGAATTTAAAGACCAACATGCCACAATAATGATCACACACGATTTAGCAACCACAACTATAAAGCAGAGAAGAATTTGGAATATGATATTCCATAAGGTAAAAGATTTAGACTTATTGACAAGAATAAGTTATTCAGCAGAACTGAGTATAATGCTATAGGAGGAAAATATGGATATTTAAGGAAATGAAAGATTTCTAAGCATTCCTGGTGAAAAGACCAGAGCTGTGTAGAAACTTTGAAGTTCAGACACAAATGTTTAGAGAAACATTTTTAAAAGTACACATGAATGAACAATGATAAGGATCTAAGCAAGAATAAGCTTTGTTGTTATTGAGTCATGTCCATGAACCATAGCATGCTAATACTTTTCTTGGCAAAGATGGTGGAGTAGTTTGCCATTTCCTTCTCCAGTGGATTAAGGCAAATAAAGGTTAAGTGACTTGCCCAGGGTCACACAGCTAGTGTCTGAGGCCAGATTTGAACTCAGGTCTCCCTGACTCTCTCTCCATTGATAGATAGATAGAATGATAGATAAAGCCTAGGAGTGGTTCTCTTATATCTTTATTATTTTAAGAGATGAATAGGAAGAGATGGGAAGAGGAATATACCAGGAGAGGAAAGGAGGGAAGAGAAAGTAAGGTTAGTAAAAATGATCTCACATAATCAGAGTACACAAGTCACATCTACACAAACGAGGCATGTGTATGTGTTTGTATGTATATATATGTATATACATATATGTGTGTGCGTGTGTGTGTGTGTGTACACACGCACACACATATGTCCAACTTAATTGTAGCCTTCTAGGGGGAGAGGAAGGGGAAAAAAGAACAAAGTAGAAAATGCACAGCAGAAAACAAAAGTAAACTTATGAGGAAACAAAGAAAAGATGGACAGCTTGGAACACCACATGTAGTATTTATTAAATAGGCTTTCTTAAAATGGAAATTTATTGCTGTATATTTTGAATCCTCTCTTATGTTCTGTGGTACACATGGCAATGCTTTTTTATTTTTTTTTTAATTTTGTATATAAGTTCATAATGTGTTTCTTTTTCTTTTCTTGTGTATTTAAGTTTAAAATAAATTAATAAAAAAGAAAAAAAAAACATACAAGGCAGAAGGGGTTAGGAAACCAGCTGACACGTCAACTTCATTTTCGTCTAAACTGCTTAAAGGAAGGAAAAATGCACATACAAAGTTGGGTATAGATATATTCAACAGGAGAAAAGGAAGGAAAAGGAGAAAGAGAAGAGGGGATTAAAGGAAGGACAAAATAACGCAGGGATTATTCTAAGAAGACTGAAGGTAGAACTCTGAGGGACACTTATGGTTAGAGGGTGTCATCTGAATGGGGATCCAGCAAAAGGGACAGAGGAAAAGCAGTCATATATGACCATAGGAAGAGAACCAGGAGAGAGTGGTATTCCAAAAACCTAGAGAGAATAGAGTATTAAGAAGAGGGTGATTAATAGTGTCAAAGACTGCAGAGAGGTCAAGGAGAATGAAGATTGAGAAAAGACTATTGGATTTGGCAACTAAGAGATCATTGGTAACTTTGGAGAGAACAGAAATGCAACTATAGACCAATATTCCTAATTATTAATTATCAATATTATTGATGCAAGAATTTAAATACAATATTAGCAAGGAACCTACATCATTATATCACAAAGATCATAAACTATGACCATGCTGGATTTATATCTGGAATGCTAGGCTGGTTCAATATTAAGAAAACTATAAACAAAACTGATCATATTTTAAAAAATTGTATGTTTATTTCAATAGATGCAGATAAAGCTTTTGACAAAATAAAACATACATATTTCAGTCAAATGGAGCTTTTCCTAAAATAATAAGTAGCATCTATATAAAAACAAGAGCCAGCATTATCTGTAACATAATTCTAAAAACTAGAAGCTTTTTCAATAAGATTAGGGATAAAGCAAGAGTGTCCATTATCACCATTACTGTTTAATATGGTGCCAGAAATTCTAGTTATAATAATAAGCAAGAAAAACAAGTTGAAGCATAGGCAAAAAGTAAACAGAACTATCACTTTTTGCAGGTCGTTATTCTTTCCAATATACTCAACTATTTCTCATGTTCTTATCATTCCTCATAATAAGTTGGTAACACCTTGCTTTGTGACCTTATTCTTGTCAATCTCTTCATTTACCACTTTTCCAGACAATCCATAACTATCCTCTCCTCACTCCAGAATCATTTCTCAACTAAAGTGATGTGCTGTGGTGGAATGTGAGCAATACTTGGAACGAGGAGTGATCTGGGTTCAGGTCTTATTAGCTACTTGACATTGAACAATGCATCTGACCTCTCAGCTTCAGTTTCCTTATCTATAAAATGCGCATAATAACTACAGTTCTTACCTTATAAACTTGTTGTGAAGATCAGATGAAATAATATGAAGTGATATAGGAAAATCAACTATCAGTGCTTTAAAACACCCTGTAGTCCTTTTAGCTACTTACCATACTCTACTTTTCATATCGTTATTTTTGTGCATTTATTATCTAATAGATGGTAGTCTCCTTGATGAGAGAAATGTTCACCCTGCCTTAGTGCCTTCCACAGCTCAATAAAGATTTTTGGATTTGGATTAGTGAATTGAATTCCACAAACTTTTGTCATTCTATCAATTGCTTAATAATCAATTTGTACTGTTTGTTGTAAGCATGTGTTTTATCACCCCCAACTACTATATATCCTAAGTTCCTTGAAGGAAGGTCTTTTTCTTTTGTTTCTTATTTCTTCCTCCCTCAGAATCTAGTACAGTGCTCTACCCATAATGATATTCAATAAATTCTTACCTATCCACTTGCAAAGTATCATTTTGGGATAACCAAATGTGAATTTTGAGTTTAATAAGACTTTATATTATAAATTTAATTTATTCTTGAATAAATTCAGAAAGATAAGTAGAAACTCATCATGGCAATTTATATACACAAAAGATAACTCATTAACTTTTCATTTCAGGCATCCTGCTCTAGCTATTTTCACAATTATCTCTCTAAATAACCTTAAAATATTGTGTCCAATTAAAAGAATATTGTATAGTGTACATCTATAATCAGAAAAATCACATTTAAAAGAAATTAAGAACCACTGTACTACAACATGAATGATTAGGTTGATTCAGTTTTAGAGTACTTTATAAATGTTATTCAAATCTAATGTAATTAGGATGCGGCTGTATTTAATATTCAGAATATTCCATGCCTTTTTTTTGTTTCTAATCATGATGAATTAAAAGCAACCCAGAGTATGTTCTTCTTTCCTTCCAAATGCTAGAACCTTAATCCAGTTTTAAATAACACCAGCAGTAATGATGTTTGGAGTTAGTGAATGTGTACTTTGATTGAAAAAAACAAACCACCTCTTTGATTTTAGGAATTGATATCACATTACTGTTCTTTCCTGAAAATGACTTACAGGTGAATGAAGCTAATTTATTCCTTTTACTTATTGAGATTAGGTTTTTGTTTTGTTTTGTTTTGTTTTTTAAAGAAACTTCTTATTTTTATTGTTAGGATCCAGGCTACTTGAGAGGGATGAAACGAGAGGAGTAGGTGGCTCCAACACGTTGCTGGCTGTGTTGCACAGGCTTGTAGGTGACAGAGAATTCGCCCAGGTAGTGTGCAGTCATCTCGGGCTTAATTTCTACCTGATTGAAGGTCTTGCCGTTATAGATGCCCACCATACTTCCTACCATCTCTGGCAGGATGATCATGTCCTAAAGCTGTGTCTTTACTACCTCGGGCTTTTCCATGGGTAGGTGCCTCCTTGTTGGCCTTCCTCAGGTGTTTCAGGAGGGAATGCTGTTTACACCACAGACCCCTGTTGAGTGGCTACCACTGTCGGGCACTGTACAACCGCATGAGCTGTTCGTAGGACATATCCAGCAGCCGGTCCAGGTCCACGCCATGGTAGGTGAACTTCTGGAAGGTTCACTTCTTCTTCTGCTCCACTTCCGCCATCATGTCTGCCATCAGGAAAAGCCTGAGGTTAGTTTTCAAACCAGTCTCATAAACTGAATCATAAACTTGCCTGTAAATTAATGATGAAACTCTCGAAATACCACAGGGATAGCTAGGTTTCAAAATCGGTAAATCACTGGGCCTTGAGTCGGGAAGATCTGAGTTCAAACCCAACCTCAAACATTTACTAACTGTATGACTCTTGGTAAGTCACTTAACTGCTATTTACCTCAGTTTCCTCAACTGTAAAACAAGGATAATAACAGCACCAGTCTTGTAGAGTTGTGAGGATCAAATGAGATAATATTTGAAAAGCACTTAGCACAGTGCCTAGTGCGTAGCCAGCACTATATAAATGCTTATTCCCTCACCCCCTTCCTGTTGTAGGCAATTAGTGGCTTGCTAGTGCCAGAAAGCATTCCTCTTGTTTGTCAAAAATTAAAAATTATGAACAAAAATACCCCATATTTTAAAGTATTTTCTCCCTTTTTTATGTCATTGTAATACCACACACCTGTGGGGTGGGCAGGACAGGTAGCATTGCATATATATTACAGCTTTAGAAACTGAGGATCAACAACTGACCCACTTAATATTCAAAGTATTAAATGTAGTATATTCCTTATTATAAATAATTAATAAATGCTTTTAAATTTGTTTTTGTTCATTCTTCATTTATGAGGAGGACCGATGACATCACAGGTGATGTCTTGACTTGTGTTGTGAATTGGATTTAAGTGAGGCAGAGTTGCACAAAGTTGTCAGAGATTCGCTCTCTCTTCCAGAGTCATGAAAGTCCAGTGGGAAGACAAAAGTCAAGACTATTGGCAATAGCGCAGGAAGCAGTGGGTGACCTTGGCATTTTTGATGTCTGACCAAGGTCTAAGGGCTCCACGGCACCCGCTACAAATTGTTCTCATCTGCCCATTCTGCCAGGGGAAGTTTCCGTGTACTTGGGGTAGACACCTCCTAACTCATTGACAGGTGTGAGGCCCGTTGGCTACTCTCAACCTGGTTAAGCCCATCTGCCAAGACGATTTATTGGGATGTGGCTGCTGTACATGCTACAGCTTCTTGGAGCCACAGGTGAGAACTGAGTGCCAGGTAGACACCAAAGATGTATGAGCAGCCCAGAAAAGGGCTTAGCAGTCCCTCTCACTGGAAGTGCTAGTCCTCCCTGAACCTCCCATACGCCCCTGTGTGAGTAAACAGTCTACTCACATCCACCATGAATCTTTCCAGGTTACACGACTCTAATTCTTTGAAGACTGCGATATTACATGTCTTATAGGCACACAGCATCACAAGAAGAATATGTATGTTAAATATATATTGTTTTGAAGCTAAGTTCATGGTTTGGTATGAAATAAGACTGATAAAATATCATTAGAGAATACAGATAGGTTAAATGACCAGGAAATACATATGCCTTGATTTAAGTACTTTGAAAATTGAGGGCTATATAAAGATAAAGTAGAGTAATAATTTTATGTTATTTGGTATGTCCTGCTGTGTTATAATTATTTCACTACTTCAAGGATGTGGGTACCCATAGTTAGATTGGTACTTAGACACCAGACACCCCACCAGCCCTGAAACTGCAGACTTTTCTAGCTTCCTAGGAATGGAAGCGTTTATATTGCTCTAGTATATCCCTCCAAAACTCAGAATCACCAACTCATCACCAAGAAGAGTTGGAGAAAGACTTTTGTAGAGGGTGGTATGATTACTGAAATACATAGATTTGTAATCTTATCAGTTTGTGAGCTCACTCTAATGATGTAGATTGCAATATATCCATACCCGACCATTTTTGTGCAACTCTTATCCATGACCTCCTGTAAGTTTCCACAGGGCTCAATATATTAGAGGCCTTCTTTACTTCCTCTTGACACCCTGAGGGTAACAAAGGAGTACTTTGGCAAGTCACCTGTTGTCCTTGTTGTCTTGCTTTATGACTAGTCCAGTTTTTTATTATCCAATTCCTTGATGACATTGTTTGTATTTGTTCTTTGTTAAAGTCTCTTGCTAGTAATATATGGTAGCCACCTCACACCTTCAATCTGCCTCTGAGTTGTATGATAATGATTTTTAGATTTTCAGAGGTGGGCATATCTTCTGACTTACTGCCATATACAACTAGAAATACCACTATTTTGGCACTTCTCTGATTTTTCCACTTGGAAACTTATTATTGGGAAAACCTTATCATCCTTCAAGATATCATTAGCCTTGGTGTTCTGTCTCATCACCACCATCTGATTGGAGGATGCAACTGTCTTCTTTCACATTATTCCCCTCCACAAGTTCTATAGTCCAGTCTTATTGGCTTACTTGCTATTGCTGACACATGATGGTCCATTTTCAAGACATATATGAGTGGTTCCCCCATACCTGGAATTCTATCTCCCCTTTCCTCTGCCTTTTAGAATCTCTGACTCCCCTTAAGTCTCAGATCAAATGCCATCTCCAGCAGTAGTCTCTTCTTTATTTCCATAGATGCTGGTAGCTTTACTTCAGATGGGACCTTTCATCTACTTTATATGTTGTACTGATTTATTCAAATAAATGTGGTCTCCCCATTAGAATGCAAACTCCTTGAAAGCAAGGATAATTTTTTTTGTTTTTTCTTTGTATTCCAGTGCTTGGCACAATACCTGGAACACAGTAAATGCTTAATAAATGCTTTCTTAATTGATTGATAGAGGGTCATTTAATTTTTTCTTTGTTTCATTATTTTCTAGGCCACACACTCACTCTCTCTCTCTCTCTCTCTCTCTCTCACACACACACACACACACACACACACACAAAATCATCACCAGGTAGCCAGCCTACTGGTGATGTGCCTTTCTAAAATAAGCTAGACTGTTCCTGACAAAGCATTTAGTTTCCTATGGGCACTGTACTTGAAGTGTTCCTAACATAATAGAACCTGCAAAATTTTATATTTCTCTAGAATAACCTTTGAAGATCTAGGTTCATTTCCATTCCATGATGAGATACCATTATAGAAAATTTTGATGATGATGATGATGATATAATTACTTTTCCCCTAATGCCTAGATTTTTACTATAGAGTAGCAAGGATTTTGAGGAGCATTAACATTCTGTAAGGATTAATGGGCTGAAGTAAAGGATTTAAGTCACATGTTAAAAGCACTGGTCTAGAAGCTCTGGTTCCAGTAGCTCTGATTTAGTTTTGTGATCTGTAAAATAGGGATAAAAATACTTTGCGTGCCTTATCTTATAAGAGATTGTTGCTAGGAAAATATTTTAGAAATCCTAAAGTGCCATAGAAATATGAGATTATCATGATTTCTCTTATAGTCTACAATTTTCTAAATTCATTGGAAATAAGAAATCATGTTTACATAAAGCTCTTCTCATTTGTGGAAAGGAGAATGATTCCATGCTTGATACTTGTGTGAGAGCTTGCGAGCAGAGAGACACTTTAAAACATGTGGTTCCAGAACCTCTATGGGGAGAAATACATAAGAAAAGATAATAGACTTTGGAAGGCAAACATATACCTCAGCATATCTTTGATTTCCAGCTTGCCTTCTTGAGAATTTCTTCTTGGGTGAGAATGGGGACTCTCTCTTGAAGTATCATTTCCTCCCTGGAAGAATAAGTTCCCTGATTTCTGTTTTATCTGCTTAGACAAATGACTTTATTTACTATTCACTATTTGTGACAGTATTTTGTGTAACTAAAATTTAGTGGGAAAGAAACAAGCCTTCAATTATAAGTAGCACTCCTTCATCTTTAAAAGAAAATGACCAGGAAAATAGCTTAAACCTAAAAATAAATTCCTCTAGAATTTATTTAGAATATTCTAACAATATTTAAGAGAGTACATAAAGCAATTGTTCTCTCTGAGGAGAGTAGGGTGGTTAGTCTAATAGCTCCAGTCTCTTGCTCTCCTCCAAGTAAGAATCAAAGTCTTCCTTGAAGAGGGCCTTTCAAGATTCCAGAGATAACTTGCATAAAAGCTACATGAACAACACATTTCTTAGATTTATATACATTTGAATGATTTTTAAAAACGTTAAAGCCAAATGAGAGCACAAAATAGTCTATTTAAAGGGATCTTTTAATGGGGTAGAAAGCACTAAAAATAAATCGTCCTGAAACAAATTAAAACTATACAAACCATACACAGTACCATATATAATAATGCTAATAATAGTCATTCCTCCCGAGTGTTTTAAATCAGTGTCTGTGACTCCTGAGTATCATTTAACTAGAAATGCTTTTTAATAGGAAGAAACTAAGTGAATGAGGTTAATTGGAATATTTTACTCCACAATTTAGTTCTTGTCTTTGGTTATAGTTATTTTCACTGATGAATAGGTGAAATAATGTGATTTGTGTGATTTATTTCATCCTTTCTCTTTCTCAAAGCCCACTTCACAGTCAGTTCCTTTGATTGCTATTTGTCATTGACACAGTAACCAAGTGTGAAGTATCATACTAGGTGTTGAGAAGGGGTTTTAAAAAAAAGATCAGATAAACTTCTCAAGGACCAGGAAAATTCTGGTGAGAGTATAATGATATGCATACAAAATGCCACTGAAACTTTTGAAGGACATTGTGTAAGAAACTATATTTCATATATTTTCTCATCCCTTCCCATTTTTTCCCAGCAGGTTGTCCCTTTAATTCTTGCTGCTTAATTGTTTGTCAGTCATGTCCCATAAATGAACCCATTTGGGGTTTTCTTGGATATTGGAGTGGAAATGTCCTTCTCCAGCTAATTTTACAGATGAAGAAGTGAGGCAAACAGGGTTAAATTACTTTCCCAGGGCCATGCAGCTAATAATCATCTGAGGTCAGATTTGAACTCAAGAAAAGTGAGTCTTCCTGACTTCAGACCTGGTCCTCTATTCTCTGCACCATCTAGCTGCCTGCTCCCTTGATTATCTCTTCTCAATATCTAATGTCCTACCACTATCCACTGCTTGCTTCCTTTCTGCTTGCAAATATGGCCAAATCTTTCCCATGCTAAATAAAAATAAAGCAAAAACAAAGCACAAAATTTCACTAGAATCTACCGTCCTCTCACACTATCAGCTTACATGTTTCTTTCTTAGCCAAATTCCTAGAGAAAGCTGCCGATATTCATTGCCTCTGGTTAAAGGAATCTTTTTTTAACTCACTCTTTGCAGTCTGGATTCTGATGTCATCACTGAAATGAATTGTCCTCTCTAAAGTTACCCATAGAGACATTGCAAATGTGATGATCTTTTCTCAGTCCTCATCCTACTTGACCTCTTTGCTCCACTTGATCACTTGATCATCCTCTCCTCCTACACACTTTTCTATCTGGGTTTTTTATAACACTACTATTCTCTCTTGCTTCTCTTCCTACTTGTCTGATGGACTCTCTTTGTCTCTTTTGATAGGTCTTCATTCATATCATGTTCCCTAACTGTAAGTATCCTTAAAGGTTCTGCATTTGAGCTCTTTTTTTATACTCTATCTCCATAATCTCATTAGCTTCCATGGGTTTAATTATCATTCCCTCAAGATAACTCTCAAGATTTAAGTAAACAGGCTCAGCCTATCCCCAGAATGTTACCTACTGACTATTGCACATTTCAAGCTGGATACCCTAGAGAGCTCTAAAATGCAACATCTCTCTGAAGAAATGCTCTAAATCATTATTGATTAGAGAAATATAAATTAAAACAACTTTGAGATACCATATCACACCTTTCAGATCAGCTAAAAAGAAGGAAGCAACAAATGTTGGAGGGGGTGTGGAAAAACTGGGACACTAATTGGGACACTAAATTGGTGGAACTATGAATTGATCCAACCATTTTGGAGAGCAACCTGGAATTATGCCCAATGTGTCACTGAACTGTCTGTACCTTTTGACTCAGCAATACCACCACCAGATCTGTTTCCAAAGATGGTTAGGGGGAAAAATCCTATATGTTCTAAGATATTTATAGCAGCTCTGTTCGTGGTGACAAAGAACTGGAAGTTGAGGGGATGACCATCAATTGGGGAATGGCTAAACAAGTTATGGTATACGAGTTATGGTATATGATCATGATGGAATATTACTGTGTTATAAGAAACGATGAGCTCGATGATCTTAGAAAGCCATGGATAGGTTTGCATGAAATAATGAAGAGTGAAATGAGGAGAACCAAGAGAACATTGTATTCAGTTACAGAACTATTGTTTAAGAACAGCTTTGAGCAACTAAGTCATTTTGACTATAATAAATACCCAAATTATCTACAAGGAACTTATGCAGAAAGATGCTGTCTACATCCAGAGAAAGAACTGATAAATAGAAGTATATATAGAATGATTTTACACACACATATACACACATTTATGTCTAATGGTAGCAGTCTCTGGGGGGAGGGAAGAAAAAAGGAAAAAAAAAGAAATTTTCATTATAATTTTATTATATATTTAAAAGTAATAGCAAGTTGTACATAACAGATTTGCAGTTTCATCTGCAATCTTTTTTTTTTCTTTCCTATTCTACTATGTTACAGAAATACTTGTTGTATTTCTTAAGTTCAGAATAAAATAAATAAAATTTTAAAATGTAATTGGGAAATAGAGAACAAAATAAAATAAAATATAATTAAAACATCTTTAAAAATGTAACTCAGGAAAATAAATTAAAAAGAAAATAAAATGCAGCATCTCCAAAACAGAAATTTTCTTCAAACCTACATTTTATAAACTTCTCTAATTCTCTCAAAAGCATCACCATTTTCTAGTCTACCAAGTTCAAAACTCATCATTATCTTCAACTCCTCACTCCCTCTCACCTCACATATCCAAATTACTTACCAAATCCTGCCATTTCTATAGCCATATCTCTTTTATCTAACCCGTTGTATTTGAAAATGCAGCCGCCACTTTAGTTCAGATCCCCATTATTTTTCACTAGACTAATTCAATAGCATTCTAAGTAGTCTCTCTGCCGCATCTCTCCCCACTCTAGTCCATCCTCCATGATTTCCAAAGTGACATTCTCCTCTACTCAATAAGCTCCAGTGGTTTCCTGTTGTTTCTAGGATAAAATATAAATTTTTCTGTTTTAGCTTTGACTACAAACTTGTCCTTAGCCCAACTTTCCAGCCTCATTGTACTTGATTCCTATTCCCATATTCTGTAATACCATCAAACTTTCTGTCTGTCTTTCACAATTAATAGTCCATCTCCAGTATCTGTGTCTTTGAATTGGCCATTTTCTATGCTGTCACAGGTGCTCTTCATAGTGAGCACCACTTTCTACGTGAAACATTTTCCAGTCCAACTAATTGCTAAAACCTCCTTTTCTTTACCTGTCTTGTGTTTAACTAGTTTGCATTTATTTGTATCCATTCTTTTTATATTTATTCTCTCTGTTTATATATGTGCTTGTTGCAAGCTCCCTGAGAGCAGGGACTGTTTAGTTCTTCATATTTGCCCTTGAGTGCCTAGTACAATATCTAGCATATAGTAGATTTTACATAAAAATTTGTTGATATATGTTTCGTATGCAGATTTATAAGCTATGAGAAGCAACACAATATATTGGGCTGGGGACTGGAAATGGAGTCAAGAAGATCCAAATTCAGCTCCTGCTTCTGCAATGTATCAACTATGTGACCATGGAAAAGACAATTAACCTTCCAGTGATCCAGCCAGTTTTCTAAGTCTAAGATGGTAGAGAGAATCTCCTTACTGAGAATTTTCTGTACCAACAAAATCAAATGTCCATCTTCTTCACAAAAAAAAGAATTTATATGAAATACATGCATAATGTATACTATGACCTATTGTCCAGATTATGATGAATTTTTGGATCTATAACCGATAGATTTATCTATTAGTTTCTTGAAAGGACAGTGCAAATGGACCCTAAATTGGGCCAGAATTAAACAAGCAGGAAAGAGCAAGATAGATTACCTTTAGGAAATTACAGAGCTAGTGACCTCAAACTTCTCTCAGAAACAGAAGTCCATTTTTTTAATCTCAATATTCTTGTACGTGTGAACAAGCTATGACATAAATCAAATGAAGAACTTCAAAGAAAATAACCCAAAGGTATTATCAATGAAGTGAATAATAGAAAAAAAAAGTAGGCTGGACACATGGCAAGGGACAATTGAGTGAACTCCTTGTGGTGCCTTTATGGAAGATAATAGATAAAAGAGTTGCATAGGGATAGGTAGGCATAAATAGTTGGAATCGATATTTGGGTAGTAGTGATTGGGGACATCAGATTGATGAAAATAGCTAGCATTTATATAGTGATTAGCAGTCTGTTACACGTACAAAGCACATATATATAGTATATTATTTATGTTATACATAATCATATATGATAAATACATATATTAGAAAATCTATACACAAATGTGTATATGTGTATATGTGTGTATATATACATATGTAAATAAAATCAAATGATGCTCAGATAATAAATTTCTAAACAATTTGTGAACTAAGATTTTCCTGCCCTGCTGACTCCAAGTGCAGAACTCTGTCCATCCACTTTTGTATTGTGAGTATTTATAGCAGGAGTGAGCTGGTGATTTTTTGCTAAGGGGTATTTGAGACAACAAATCTGGAATGGTCCTTATGAGTCCTTATACCTAGGAGCTTGTATTGAAGATGACTGGTGATTGAGTTGAGTAGAACCACCAACTGGTCTATAAGAGAGGAAAGGAGAAAGACTACCTGTCTCATTTGGGTCTTCTCTATTGGAATTCTTTGCTAGCACTATCTTGTTTTTTAGATCTCCAGGAATGGTGAAAGGAGATTTCTCTTTCCTGCCTCTCTTCCAATGACAATGGTAGCTATAAACTGGATTATTTGCTTGACTACATGAACTTGAGTCCCTGGTGATTTTCTTATGCCTTACTGTCCACCCCTGGATGCTCCCCATCCTCCACCCCCCGCCCCATCCCCAACAAACCAATATCTATCAATCCAGAGAAATACTTTTCCAGACTTTTCAGTAACTGATCAATGGTAAGTGATCTCAGTAACATCCTACTTCTTAAGAGTAGAACACCACTTCTTGAAAAAATGCAGCCATTTATTAAGCATATTCTATCCACCATACTTCACAAATATTATCTCATTTGATCTTCACAACAATCTTGTGAGATAGGTGCTATTATAACTTCCATTTTACAGATAAGAAAACTGAGGCAGACAAAGGTTAAGTAACTTACCCAGAGTCACAGAGCTAGTAAGTATTTGAGGCTGATTTGAATTTAAGTCTTCCTAACTCCAGGCCTACTTCTACCCTACCGCCAAGCTTCCTGTAAGAAATCAACCAAAAAAAGCCCCAGGCCATGACTTTGATCTGAAGCTCTCAAACCATTTTGGTCTCAAGACTCCTTTATGCACTCTTTTGTTTTTAGTATTTTGTTTTATAGCTTTTGTTTATAGTGTTGTAACTAGCAATATTTACCATATTAGAAATTGAACTTTTTAAAATCTGAATTTAAATTTCAAAATATATATACTTATTCATTCATTTAAAAATAATAACAATAAAGCCATTACATATTAATAGAAATAAAACATTTATTAAAAATAACTATCATTTCGCAAAACAAAATAAAATTAGTGAGGATGGTAGTCTTATTACATATTATTGCAGGTTTCCTTAATGTCTGGATTAATAGAAGACAAATTATCATATCTGCTTCTGCAATCAATTTGGCATGATAAGCCAACTTGGCGTGAAATAAATGAAGAAAATCCAACCTCACATAAATATGTAGTTGGAAAAAGGGAAGGGTATTTTCACTGCAAATAATATGAAAATAATTTTGACCTTGCCAATCTCCTGAAAGGATCTTGAGGTTTGTGTACTGTGCTGAGAACAACTGTCTTGGATTGGCCTCTAGAGACAATACTTTCAGTTGCTCTATAGTTGATCTAGATCTCATTAGTTACACAGATAGGGCAGATCTGGAGTGAAAGTGAAATACCTGTTTAGAAGTTCCATAAGAAACATTTACTTTTGGGGTGTGTGGAAGTGGGGAGGGAGTATAATGAATATAATGGGAATATTGACAATTTTCATATCATCTGCATTTATAGGTGTGAACTTTTGAATGCTTTTTTTCATCTTAAATATTTTCTATGGTAGAGGTGGTATCTTATGGTCAATATTCATTTTATAAGTGGATCGTTTTATACATGGAACTCTTTTTCTAGAAAAGACTCTGTTGCCTACTTTTAAAAAGAGCTTTTCCCAAGGGTAATGAGAGACAGAGACAGAGGGTGAGAGAGGGAAAAAGAGAGGAGGGAAAGGGGAGGGGGTGAAGAAAAGAGAGACAGACAGAGAGAGAGAGCTGTAATGTGTGAATAGTGAGGTAATATAGTGTAAAAAACTAGTGATTAGGATAGACTTTGATTAATAAAAGAAGGCTTCTTGGAAGAGGTTAGTT